AAAACAAACCTTTGAATCCACAATAAGAGGTGAATGGGGTTTGGGGTGTATAGTAATATAGAGATGTAGCTAAAATTTTAACAGAATATTTTAATTTAAAGCTAAAAAAAGTAAGAGAGTATTTAAAAAGTGACTTTATTATCAAACTTATTTATCAATAATTAACAATTTCCATTAGCAAATAGCTATGGATCAAATATGATGAAGTTAATCAAGATATATTATATAAGTGCTCAATAATTCATGTAGTATAATGTGGAGAGATTGGAACCTTGTACAAGATCAAGATATAGATACAGAAGGATATATGAATGTGAATAATATAAAATGCTAATAATAATACAGACAAAGTCTTTATGTAATTCATTTAGAGTGTTCTATAAAGGAAAGATAATATTTCTACATGGCAAAAAATTCTCTTTGAACCAAGGCCGTTTAGAAACAAATCTAAATTTTGTGAAAGATATGCCTATTTATACTAGGTACTAAAATGATCACTCATCGTGTATTCTAAAACTTCGATATAATGAGTTTCTTTAGGATAAAAAAAACTTGGAAAATTAAAAACTTTTTGCTTAACTAAAATATCTTGTAAAATGATTTAAAAAAATAAAAGAGATAATCAACATAAAACGAGTAATTATGGGATTCTGTTAACCAATACTCAGTTATTTATATATGGATTTTAATAGAAATTAGAGATTATAGTATTATATCGTTTGCATGTTATCAAAAATGAAAATTAATACAGATCAGCAATTAGAAAATGAAACAATGACTTTATCATGATTTTGGAATTAGAATAATTAAAACACATTATTGGACACATACCAAGAATTTTTTTTTATTTAGAATATATTACAAACGATAAGGCAAATGAGTTAATAGATAAATCTAAACTTATATTTGAAATAAAAATATCATATAAATAAAACAATTTAAATATCATAACATATAATAATAAAGAAATAAATGAAGCAATTGAAATAAGAAATATTGTCAGAAATATGCCATTAAGTTATTTAAAATGAATGATGTCAATTTAGAGGATACTGATTTTGATATATCTGTAAGAAATAAACAAACTTCATCGGTTTCAGTTAAAAATAGAGGAAAGTTTGAAGGATAAATTTCTCTGAAAAAATATCTTTACTTTATTAAAAAGTATAAACAATGAAAAATCATGAGGTATTAATGGTTTTACATTAGCATTCTTTAAATGCTTTTGGCTGGATTTAAAGCATTGTATAATAAATGCAGCAAGATACGCACATAAAACTAGGAAACTATCAAAAATAGAAAAAAACATATGTTATAGGTTTTTACCAAAACAAACCAATTCAATCAATATGTTATTCAATTGGAGACAAAATTACTTTATCAATTATTGTACAACAATTAATTTTAGGATTATAGCTGAAAGAATAAAACCTATGTTATCATTATTGATTCATGAAGATCAAAACGGTTTTATAAAAGGTAAGTATTAATTGAGAAAATATAAGATTGTAAATTATATTATACGTTTTATCAAAAATGAGAATATATGAAAACTCTTACTATTATTAGACTTTGAAGAAGCTTTTAATAGCCTCTTTCGAACATTGTCAGATTTTGAAAATAATATATATATATATATATAAGTTATTATTTTTGCCAATTGTCGAATTTAATGACTTTTACTTATATTTCTTAATAGTATAAATATATACTATGTTGCTGTTGGGCTTAGGATTCTTCAACAGTAGGTGTCTGTGACTTCTTAGCGATAAATTCAACGATGAATAAACAGCACACACTTTACTTGTTTTCAAAATACATAAATATAGTATAGGTTATACTTTTTAAGAGGAAAGCAACAACTAAAATCATTTATCTGAATAATTCTGTAATTTAGGAATTTGTAAAACAAAATAGCATTAGGTATGACAGAGTTTTGTCTAGGATTCAGTTAGTTGAGGAACGATATTTTGTCAGTGTATACTAAAGTTAATCAATACTGATCTCATTATTTCAATGTGGCTTCTGTAAGCAAACCATAAAATATTAAACTAATTATACGTTCCCATTCCAGTAAACAAAATCGTTACCAAATTAATAGTTTTCAGAATTTAATTTGAACGCGTAAAGCGTACACACTGGCATCTTTAAGCAAGGATTATTTTATTTATTTAGTGGCAAACGTATATTTTAACTTGATAATCAATCAGTATGAAAATTACCACTGCGAAGTAAGACATAAATGTTTAAAAACATTTTTGCCTTAAATGTTTCATGGTGCAATGAAAAAGTTATTTTAAAAATTATACATTCTCGGTTTCCAAATTATATTCTATAGCTTACAAAACTTAGGTAGAATAAAATGTCTGACATTGTTATTTGAATGACCAGTGAACTCTCATTCATTGCTCTAACTAGTATTACTGGATTATCATTGGTTGATATGATATTTTAGACAAAAATCGAAAACATATAATTCATGGTGATAAATATCAGAACCAATAAGACCCAACACCAAAGCTCGTGAATAAACCTATAAAACGTGAACTAACCAAATAAAACAAAAAAAAATTTTCTTACAAACCGTTAGACAGATATTTTGAAAAACATTTTCCGCTTTACTTTATAGTTTTAGCATATTATATATCCAATAGTAAACATGATAACTTTGAAAAGCATATCACGGGAAGTGACTGGTGAAACATTTTATTAAACTAACTCTAAATATCATGTTCTACGTTTAAACCATGCTAATTCGTAGAGAAAGTATTCTGTTTTGTATCTTCCAGGGACTGCCATAGGTGCTACAATAGGATTTGGCCTGGAACTGAAGAACTGGAAATTATCCTCGTTTTCGAGCCTTTGTAAAGTATTTAATGTACGGTCAAAGTAACTGGCGATTAGATGGATTTCAATACATAAATGGTTAACATTCTGAAACAAACAAAAAAAAGCCTATTATTATTTGTAGTTAGTTTATACAATGACTAATATTTCTTAGTCACAAGTTCAATTAGTATACATTTAATAAAGTTTTTCAGATAAAAGTTAATTTAGTATACATTCACTAACATCTTTCAACTACAAGTTATTAGTAAACATCTATTAAGTTTTCAGCTACAAGTTCTTAATAAACATCCACTAACGTTTTTCTATTACAGATTCAGTCAATATACATTCCCTAATGTTTTACATCTATAAATTCAGTAACTATACGTTCACTAATGTTTTACATCTACAAGTTCAGTAACTATACGCTCACTAATGTTTTACATCTACAAGTTCAATAATTTTACATTCACTAACGTTTTTCAGCTACAAGTCCAGTTAATACACATTTACTGAAGTTTTTAGTTACAAATTCAGCACCAAAACATTCACTAATTTTGTTCGGCTACAAGTTCAGTTAGTGTACATTCGCTAACGTTTCTCAGCTACAGGTTCAGTAACTATACATTCACTAACGTTTTTTAGCTACAAGTTCAGTTAGTATACATTCACTAACATTTCTCAGCACAAATTCAGTTAGTATGCATTCACTAGCGTTTCTCAGTTACAAATTCAGTTAGTATACATTTCCAAAAATTTTTCAGTTGTCAGTAAACATACACTGACGCTTTTCAGGTTCAAGTTCAGTTAGTATACATTCCATAACATTTTCAGCTACAAGTTCACTTAGCATACATTCACTGACGTTTTTCAGCTACATGTTCACTTAGCATACTTTCACTAACATTTGTAAGCCATAAATTCAATTAGCAGAAATTCACTAACATTTTACAGCTGCAGATTCTTAATAGACATCCACTAACGTTTTTCAGTTACAAGTTTAGTGAATACATATATTCAGTAAATGTTTCAGCTACAACTTCAGTAAATATATATTCGCTTACGTTTGTCAGCCACAAAATGAGTAACTATACATGTACTTACGTTTTTCAGCTACATGCTGTTAATAAATATCCACTAACGTTTTTCATTGACAAGTGCAGTTAGTATACACTCACTGACCTTTTTCATTACAAGTTGTTAGTAAACATCCATTACCGTTAAGTTACAAATTCAGTTAGTTCGCATTCACTAACTTTTTTTAGTTACAAGTTCATTTAGTATGCATTCTCTAACTTTTTTCAAGTACAGGTTCAGTTAGTATACGTTTACTAATGTCTTTCAGCTACAAGTTAAGTTAGTAAACATCCACTAACATTTTTAGCTACAAGTTCAGTTAGCATACATTCACTAACGTTTTTCAGCTGCAAATTATTACTAAACATCCATTAATGTTTTTCAATTAGAAGTTCAATAACTATACATTTGATAACGTTCTTCAGCTATAAATTTAATTAACATACATTCACTAACGTTTTTCAGCTACAAATTCAGATAGTATGTATTCACTTTCATTTCTTCAGCAACAAGTTCAATTGGTATATATACCCTAAAATTTATTCAGTTATAAATACAGTTAGTTAATAAAAACATTCTAACATTTCTTCTGTTAACTTCAGTAAGTGAATTCATAAACATTCACTAAAAATCTTTCATTTACCGTTGAGCTACTTAATAAAAGCCTAATAATAACAAAATTTTCTTTAAGCAGTTTGAAAAATTATGAAAAAATATAATAACGATTGAAATATATATTAAAGTGAACAAAGTGATAAATTTATTAAGTAAGCCTACTCATTTGATAATTACTAATAGCATTTTCTTCATTATGTTAAGTGTTACCAAACTATGGAACAAATAGGTCTAAACCACTTGGTTATTTTAACAATATTTTAAAAACGGAATTTTTGAAACTTGGTGCTTATGGAAAAAACAGTTGTAACTCAGGTAATGTATTACAAAATAAAAACAAAAATTAGCTCATGAAATCACAAAATAAGCTGCAATTTGTAAGTATTCCATTACCATTGTTTAAATATTCCTTTTCGAAATTTAAATTATAAAGATAAAACAGGTAAGTAAATGAAAAGAGATCCTAAAATATTTAATGGAAAAACAGGTAAGCTTCTGATTAAGCAGATAAAGAAATATAATTGTTATAATGACTAGTAATATACTTGAGTAAGTTGTAATGAAGTACTTACAACCTTAAACAAATTATGAAGGTGTAGAAGTTCGATGTAATAATAAAGTGTTGGAAAAGATAAATAAATTTGAACAAGAAATATGAAGAAAATTTATACATTAAAGAGGTTGAATGTTTAATAAATTTAGAACACAAAATGAGATATTTCTATTTAGTTACAAAAATACAAAAGTCAATGAGAAATTAGTAATTTAAATGAATATCTAAGCAGTAGTTATTTAAAAATTAAACAATTCTTCAACGGTAAAAATAGGCTAATTACTGCAGGGATTAACTGTTTTATTAATAGATCAAGTAAATTCATAAATGTATGTTTTTACATCCTTTTGTTCAGGAAGTTAAAAGTTTTACAGAAGACGACCTAAATGTTTTAACCATACTATATTTTGTTATCTTAACTTTGTATACTAGTAATGATCACCATTCAGGTTCGAAAACAATTAACTACAGTGTACTTCCTTGAATATTTCCCAAAAAGTTACATAATACAATCCCGTTACATTTTGTATTAGATAGTATTTTAATCATTCTGACTAATAACCTCTTTATTTTTAACAAACACATTTTTAGACAACTTAAAGGTACTTCAGTGGTTTCAACCTACGTGACGTTAGTTATGGGTTTCCTTGAATTAGGAATGTCTTGTTTAATAAATGATACATTTTGTCAAGTAATAGGGAATTATATTTATTGTAACTGATTTCATTGTCTTGATGACTTCTTTAAAGTGAAAATTAAAGAGTTAGATCTAAACATAATCAGGGATATTTTGAAAGCTATTAGAGATAATATTACTTTTTACTTACGAAGAACAGGAAGAAGAATTTGTTTTTATATTTAAGCCGTTATTTCACAAAACTCTTTGTGTGTGTGTGTCCGCTTATAACTGGGGAACTACTAGACTGTTTATCACCCAATTTGCAGTGGATGATCCTTCAACTTATAGGAGCGTTCTGCGCCATGTTTGATATCGATAAGTGCATGTTGCAATTTACAGGATTCTTGTAAATCACTTATGAAAGTATATCTATAGGTTTTGACCGATCTCAACCAAATCTGGCATGTACCCTTAGAACCCTAAAGGTGGGGGTGAGGTCGGCGTTTCGATGTGTTTGCTATTTCAATAAGGAAATGACTCGTGCATTATGAATAATGTGATTTTATTAATTAATATCAACTTCCGATCAGAGCAAGCTACCTACATAGAAAGAAACTAAAAATCAACCTGGTAATGAGTATAGTTAATTAGACATAGCATTTTTGTTACGTTATTATTTATAAAGATTAGAATGTATTGTTTCATTAGTTGGGAATCCTCGCTGTTAACGATATTTTCGGCCGTAATCTCAACAATACTGGATGAAGTTCGGCCAGCTTAGGAGACTTAGGTTAGTCCTAAGTACATATATTAAGCTGAAAGGACAGGTGTGTACGTGATTAGTGCTTGAAAAAGACAGGAAACAAAGACAAGATTTCTACAGCGGCCTCTCGTTTCTCAAGCCAGAAATAAATCTGTTCGACAAGCGTCATAACTCTTCTCATATTCCACGTTCTCTCTCTCTCTCTGTAGCTGACCAATCAGGAATCAACGAGGTGTCTCTGATCTATATGACAGTGTAGAGCAGTCGTACATATGTTAGGTACAATATAACTATCCTATCCATAAAACAGTACATAATTTTACTTATTTAGGCTGAATTTTGCATATCACTTCATCAGATTTAGTATGTCGAATTTTAGAAAAAGTAAAAAATAATTGTAAATACTAAAAATACTCTACAGAAAAATGAGATACGTGGTGAGTGAATACCATTGTATATATTACTTACATAGCTTTAACAAGCGGGGTTTAGATAGTTGTGTTAATGTATAAATAAGATTTGGGTGTCTCTCCAATCTCGATTCTAGGGCCCTTATCTCTTATTCTCACTATGCAAAAATAATGTAACTTTCAAACAGGGAAACTTATATTTTATGCACTGACAATTGAATGTGTTAATTTTTACAACAGTAATCAAACATTTTTGTTTGTTTGCTGTTAAACACTAAGCTATACAATGGGCTATCTGTGCTGTGCCCACCATAAATAATCGCAGATACATTTAGAATGTTAAAAGCTAGAACTCGCATTAGTCGTAATAAGAAAATCCAGTGAAAGAGAAAGAAAATAACATGAGAAAACAAGACATAGACAATTATATTATTAAAAGGTGGTGCATTGTGTGCAAATACAAACCTATGCTCTGTCAGAAAAAAAGTCGATAACACAAGATTTTTTGGACAGTTCGGCCTGTTAATTTCAGTTTGTTGCTAGATTGAATCGTAGGCTAGGTATGCAGTGAATGCAAGTGCGGGAAAAACACTGAAGTAAGACTAAAAATAATTTTCAACACATAACCCTCTTGATTGGTGCATTCTGGGATTCCAGCATACACCTACACCCTCACTTTATGGGATACTTTTTTGTCGTTATTCTGTATTGATATTTTCTACTTCATTCTACTGTGAAATTTTAGAACTAAGGTAAACGTCAAAACACGTAATCCACATTTTTTTATCTATTGAAGACTTCTTTTACACACAGTTACGTTTATATATAGAATGAAAACAGCTTGGTTGTTTTGTTTTATTGAATTTCACGCAAAGCTACTAGAAGTCAATGTTCACTAGCCATTCCTAACTTTAGAATAATATATTAGAGGGAAGGCAGCAGTCAACACCACCCACATCAACTTTTGGGCTACTCTATACCAACGATTAGTGAGATTGGCCGTCAAATTACAACGCCCCACGACTGAAAGGACAAGCAAGTTCAGTAACAGGTTTTGATCCTGCGACCCCAATTATGAATCAAACGACCTAACCACCAGACATGACAGATCAATCAAAATGACAGTGATGATTATGATAAAGATCAAAATCTTGATCGTGATTTTAAGTGTGATGGCTGAATTTCATTCTCTTGTAATGAAGACAATGATAACTTTTCACTATATTAATATCTTGTTACATTATTCGTGCCAATGCCTGTAACGACACTGTAAATAAGAACAGTTTACTTTTGTACGTCGTGCTTACCATTCTAGGTTAATCTCAATTTACCTGTACATGACAATTATTATTAAAACAAAATCTCATAAACGTTGTTTTTTGTGATGTTTTTCAGCGTTAACAATGTGCAGTGAATATCACATTCACTGCTTTACCTGAAAATGTTGGTTCTTAAAAATGTTTCATTCTATTATTTTAGAATGTTGAAGTACAGCAATATTGCTTATTTATTTTAGATAGACATTTCAAATGTTATAGTTTTTTTAAATTTAAATATAAGTAATATGCTTTCAGAGTTGAAATTGCATATTTCCTCAATGAAAGATGACAAGTTTACAAAACGCATTTCTCAAGAATACATGACCAATGTTCATTCACTTCCCAAAAAAAGTATATAATTACTCTCCCAACAAGCTAAAACTCGGTTCTGTGTAATCTATTAACAGTAGTAGTATTTTTGGCCATTATTAATTTCTTTTGGATGCGACTAAAGGGATCGGTTAAAAAAAAAAAGGGGGGGGGGTCTTTCTATCAAGAAACCCAGTATGTGGGGGGTGAAACTTTATACTCTTTAGTGGATGTCTGAGTACACGTCAAGAGAATTTTTTTTTTTTTTCATTTGTGGAAAACTACATAGAAGGCTATATGCACTCTATCCACCAAGGGGAATCGAGCCCCTGATTTTAGCATTCTGAATCCGTAAACTTATCGCTGACCCACCTGAAGACAAAAAATATTTGGAACACAAAATGTTTATAATATATGCATATGCAAATACGTAAAAGTATTATTATAAAAGTTCCAAACAATCAGACAATATTAACAAGAACATATATATAAGTAGAACACAGAGAAATGCCAAAATAAATCAAAGAAATCGAAGAGAAAATCACAAAAATTTGCCCTGTTATTCAGAGGTCCTGTGATCAAGTCCTGGTCTTGGAGTCGTTTTTCACTTATCGGCCTTTTCTCTTAAAATTTAGTGTTACAAATTGTAAAGGAACAAAAAGTTAATTTAATTTTAGTTGTCCTAACCAACATTCGTAACATTGAGGTTGTACAAACAGATGTGAATTTACGTTTTCTGAGGCCCTAGACCCGCAGATATTTTAAAGCTCCCCCAAAACAAAAATTTTTGTGACTTCATGTTGCACTTTCCTTACTTGATTAGAAATGTTCCCTTGCGATGTTAACATTCACAACATTTTTCTCTTCATTTTGTACTGACAAACTCTTTAGTTACATTTTCGAAATTTAATAAAACAGTTAGAATGGACCGAACATGGCCAGGTGGTTAGGGCGCTTCACTCACAATCTGAGGGTCGCGGGTTCGAATCCCCGTTCCACCAAACCTGCTCGCCCTTTCAGCCGTGGGGGCATTATAATGTGACGGTCAATCCCACTATTCGTTGTAAAAGAGTAGCCCAAGAGTTGGTGGTGGGTGGTGATGACTAGATGCCTTTCCTCTAGTCTTTCACTGCTAAATTAGGGACGACTATCGCAGATAACTCTCGTGTGGCTTTACGCGAAATCCCAAACAAACCAAATCAGTCAGAATGATTTTAACTGAAAGCAAGGACAAGGAAACACAGCGATCTTGTGACAACCTTTTGTGAAGGTGATTGATTATCTGTTTTAAAGCATAAAATGCTTTCTCGAAAGTAGCTTTTGAAACCGGCAAAGTAAGATCTGTATTATCCGACTTTTTTATTCTTATTGCCTGGATATTTAATTTCTTGGTCCTCTATCTTCTGTTGAGTAATTGTTTGTTTTGAATTGACAGCTATAAATAAGAATGATGATCAGAGGATTTTCTATCACATGACTAATTCTTATATATCATTTTAGGAGCTAAAGTGTAATAAATATTCATTGTATTCATTAAAACAGAATTCGTTGAAAAAAACGTCAACAAAATAGTTTATTTTTTTGAAAATGATAGTGTATTCGTGGTATAATTGCTTATTTTACTCTGGACTGAAATTTTGCTTACCTTTATATGACAGTTGGCATTAAAACTTATTGATGGTTATATCCGCTTTCTTGTCCTTTAAATACTTTAATATAAATATTTTAAAATTTTGTTATTTCTGTATTAAGGGGTTAGAGACTGGCAGTGAATTCGAGAATTCATTGTTCGTGGTCTGTTGCTGCAAAAATGCACTGAGCATTTTTGGGGTCATAGATACATTATAATAGGGATGGTTAACTTCCACTGTTTAATTAGTATAACCAAAGAGGTGGCGATGGTTGGTGTTTACTACCTGCCTTCCTTGTGGTCTTATTATTTCAAAATTAGGATCGGCTACGCACATAGACATTTGGGTAGCTTTGCATCAAAATTATGAGACAAAACTTTAGAAGATATGGTAAATTTTATTGTGTTGTGCAAATATACCCATAAAAATATTTAATATAGTAGTCCAGCAAGTGAAACAGGTTTTCTAGAAGCATGAACTATGTAGTCAATGTGGTGAAACAATTAGCCTAATGTAATGAAATAAACAGGTAGACAATAGGGGTGAGACGTACACAAGTTCTCACAGCCGAAGTTTGTATTGATACTTCTGCACTATATTGTCTAGAAGTTTCTTAGCCATGGAACACGAGAGGTCATGTTTAGTGAAGTTTGATAGTTCAGTGTGGTATTTGTGAATAAATACCACATCCTTCTAGTTGCTCATAAATAAATTTTAATATCGAATATTAACTGGTTTTGAGTCTCGTTAAAATTACGCAAGTAGTTATAAAGTCACTATGGAAGTGGAAGTGATAACGTCTTATGTATTTAATACGCATATGCAAGTTAATTACATATGATGTCATCACTTCCGCCTTCATATTGACCTTATGGTTACTTACGCAGTATGATGAAACAATGTCGAGATATAAAAATACTGAAAGTGAACTAAGTATTTCATACCTTCAAAACGCGGGAATCTACCATCTGCTCCAAAGCATCCAATTCAGACCCTTCTACGTCCATTTTCAGCACATCTATGATCTGTCCTTCATGTCCTAGCATCTTCATAATGGTATCAAGTGTTCTCAACTTCCAGGTAATACCGTTATTTTGCTTACTAAATATAAAAAATCTCAAATAGATACAAATACAAAACTATTCGTGTTATTAATTTCTTGGCAGAAGATACATAAACTCATCTTAACATGACGGATTTAAAGAAAACGTAGCTATAAGCTACTTAGGAGAATTTACTTTTCCAAATATTACCGTTTCATCTAGTGAAAACTTGTAATGTAACAATCTATTTCAACAAACGACAGCTGTAATGATGTGTATCAATGTTTTTTTTAAATATATATATATATATAATGTTAACTATTCATCCTCAAAATATTATCAGTCCTTGAAACATTTCATATTTTCAACATGCTAAATTGGTGAAAAGAAAGCATTTGAAAATTTCTTAATTATGATAGAGGTCACCACCTTTTATGCCAAATGTGACCCCTGGTGGCCATGTTGTAATCCTAAGAGCTTATAAAAGTAAAATTAGTAGTTCGATCCCTGTGGTGGGCACAGTGCAAATTGATTCGTTATGTAGCTTTGCACTTAAACAAACACATTATACAAATTTATAAATGCAAAAAGTTTGAAATTAGATTGTGGAACATTAAAAAACTTGAAGCTCTCGTATTATGCTTCTGTATCTCTAAAATAAATGAAAATAATGGATTAAATCCACTCTCGTCAAAAATTTCGTACAAAATATCAGTATAGAGTATTCATAAAATATTGTTCAAATGTTGTCACTAATTGAAGGTGTGATGTTTTTTTTTTCTTAAGGTTTTATAACGTAAAGCATGATACATTAGCTGGTTATAGGTATAATATATTATCACAGTAAGATTAACATTTTTTTCATATATTCTTTTACTGGCCTAGCCCTTTCACAATGTGCTCATGTATTTTACACGAGCCTATTTTGTAAATTATACGAATGCAAGAATGCATATGATAACTTTGAAATTTCTTAACATATCCTCACAAAACCTGGTAAAATTTTGTCAAAGATTATAAGTATCTTGCACCCGAAGAATGACATTATTTTATCTAAGTCTTTCTACTAAAATATGTTATTTATCTATTGTAGTTATTTAGACTCAAACTCTTAATAGTTCGAATGCAATGTGATTTTCATTTTAAATATAAAAATACTTTTCTTCATCTTACAGTTTTCGAGTTTTATTTTCATAACCTCTAGAACCTCCTAAATGAACATCAATTTTTTTCTCTAGCATATCACTAACTGTAGATATTATTATCAACGTACAGTGCAATTAAATGTTTAAAATTAAGAAATAGAAATAATGTACGTAACTTTTGATTTTTCGTAGAATATCTTAAAAGACTTTCTTTTGGTTATATTCATAATTTCGGGTCTTTTTCTTTTCACATGTAGTTAATTTTTAATGTTTTCTTTTAGTTTCCTGTCTTTTACCTTTTATTACTCATCTCGGAACAAGTCAATGGTGCCCTCGGGCATAATTATAGTACCTCTACCAGAGATGCACAAGTCTTTTAATGTTTTATTTTAGTTTCCTGTCCTTTAACTTTTATTACTCATCTCTGAACAAGTCAATGGTGCCCTCGGGCATAATTATAGTACCTCAAGCAGATATGCACAAGTCTTCAGAAAAATTATCTTGCCCTCACGGAGGATCTTAAGCCTTGAGAACTGATCCAAAGTTTGATGTATAGATAAAAATAAATAAATGTTTCAATTACGCATTTTAAAACTTAAATACAGTTTATCTGTCTCTCTAATTATAACATGTTTAGCTAAGAAAAACTGTAAGTACTATGGTGGATAAAGCAGCCAACAATACAACAGGTACTTACATCTATCCTATGACAACAACTTCATGCCAATTTCAAAATAACCACTGTTGGAGTATAGTGTACAATGAGCTCTTCCTAATGTGTGTTAAGTAACTACATGTAGATTGTAAAGCTCAAGTATAAGTATATAGGGTGGGCATGGCATCCATGAAGGGTTGACAAAATTGTTTACTTGTTTCTACGGCATTCAGTCAAAGGACTTTGAGACTTATTTGAAAGTAGGGCAAGTAAACATACTTGTTACCTATACATGAATGTACCGGACAGTCATTTTCTTATTCAAGATAGAGAGTACAAAAATTGAGATTTGAGCTCGTGGGTCATCTGACAACAAAGCTGTAGGGTCAGTAAAACAAAAAATGGTTGAAATTTTATTCATTTAATTGTGATATCCTCCAGTAGGTGAACTGAAACTTTTAAGCTCATAAAGCAAAAATATACAAATAAAACAAGTGCACCACGGAAAACAGTGCATGTATAAGATTGTGAGTTTTGTGCTGAACAAACACAAATATACCTAATTGTGATATAACATCACACTTATTAGTCTATCACCAATCATTACACTTTTTGTTTTTGTCATGATGTAAAAGACTGTTTGGTTTAAATATTGGTGATTAATTTATATTTATGAGTGAATATTTTATTATTTTTAAGTTTTGTTATAATAAGAGTTAAAAGCAAACGATTGTAGAAGATTTTGTTAATAACTAATTGGTGTCTAGAATATAGAAAGTGATCAGACGACTGTGTAATAAAGATATAAATAGCGTGAGACTAGCGGGAAGCAGCAGACAGACAGTATTAGACAGATAAAAGCAAAGAGAATATAGTTGGTGTAAAGCTAAGTAACGTAAAAGTGATAGGCCTAACGTTATATACATATTAGAGTGAAACTAACAGTGGAAAGGAAATAAGGAAAAATAAGTTTATTCCGTCAAAGCGAAATTCTAAAGTAATTGAATCAGCCTGAGTGCACTTTGACAAAAGGAACATAGGGTCTTCCGAAGACCACAATCGTAAGTGAATCACACCAGACTGATATTGCGATAGTATTAGAGAAAATAGTTCGGCTTGTCCAACTGAGATTCTAAAGTAATTGAAACGGCCTAAGTGAACTTTTACAAGAAGATCTGTACATATACTGATATAACGTTTACTATATACTTATATTCTCTATAGTGTGAATACTTTATTGCACATACGTTTAACTAGTTCCGAATATATATATATATCAATAAAAACACCGAGATAGTCGTTCTATTTACTTTTTCTTATCTTGTCATTGAAGCTCTTTTCATCATCAACAGACAAATGTACATTGTTCCATCAAATGTGATGATAAGACAACACCTAACATCCATCTCAGACTCAGAACATCTAATTTTGATATAAACCAATATTAACCTCATTAAACACAGCTTCATCGATTAATAAAATATCTTTAGTGAGTCTCACCGTCTCTTTTTCAATGAGGAAAAGTAATGTAATTTTCTATCCCCTCAATCAACACGATGGTTTCTCTGACTTTTCTTGCTGAAAACATAAATGAGTTTTGTTCAGTTGTGATGAGAACCCTCACGATGAATTTAAATGAGTGATGCGTTAAGTGACGTTCTCATGAAAAACAATTGTGCCTGTATGGCTTGGTCAGGTGGTTGTTGTGAATGAAAAGAACAGGAAGAGACATGTTTTCCTTAATTTAACATATAGAATTAGCCATGACGAGTGCATCTATAAGTTATGGATGATCGAGTCGATGAGTAATCATTGTATGTTCTCACCAGACAGATTTACTTTGTTTTAGAGATGCTAGCACTTATGATAGTTGTGGCTACCGAAGCTTAATAGTGCCAGCGAATGTTTAAATTAATTTTTTTTCTTAAATCGATATAGCTGTATGTTTCAGATCGTTTTTTTTTCTATTTCGAAATTCTGTTAGGTGTTTAGTGAACTTATCAACCATAGAAAACATTATTGGTGTTACTTTAATCACCCAGTTTACAGTCTTTAGCAAAACACTTTCATTTCGTGAATGTATTAAACTGTACAAATTCTGACTCCAATAGCCAAAAGCCTCACACACTACGCATATATAGCTCGTAATCAAGCACCTTTTGTGAAAAGAGAAACAGAAATTACTATTAAAACAATATTTAATACATGTAAGAATATTGTGAGCCAATACTCATAATCCCTGTTCATCACCAGCTCATCAACATAAATGATTAATTATTTATCAGTCAAATATGTATATATAGGTTTAGTATTTTAAAAGAAACTAATTTAACAAATTCGAAAAATAGAGTAAGAAAAACTTCTAAATATGGGACATAAAATAATTAAGTAACTGGAATCAATGTTTAATATATTTAATTTGGTGTTATGATGCCTGGTTAACTCTGGTTCGCTGCTGTTTATGTAATGTCACAGAAAGCAAGGATAGTGCATATCTTTAAACTGGCTTTCGAACTCCAAGCTACCATGTCCTGTCATACAAATCCACTAAAACCAGTCATCCTATCTTCGCGGTAATCATGCTTAAAACATACATTGTTTATACACTGTAGATGAACATCACATGATAACTTGGGAAGTAAATACTACCGCTTCCTTTCAGTTACCAAATGCTCGACCTAATAATTATCCTAGCTCTTCGTTCAATTCCAACTTTATCGACTGCGATGTCGAGGTAAAAGAAAACTAAATTTATTCAAAAATGAAAGCATAGAATTATCAAAGCTATGAAATAATCGTAACCTAAGCATTAAAAAAGCAGACAAAAACCAAAATGTAGTTTTAACGCATAAAGCAGAGTACATCTCAATGATGATGAAGTATTAAATGTATTAAAACTCCAACTTTTACTCGCAAAGGAAATTAACAAATTTCTTAAAGCATTTGAGAAATAAAGGCTGCATAATCCCTGAGATCAGAAACTAGTTAAAACGCACCAATGATAAAACACCTCAACTCTACGAACTGCCAAAACATCATAAAACACACGAAAATGTGTTTTTTGATAAATATGTTTTCTTTAAATGTAACCTTGGCAAAAATATGACCTGGATTATTTCAGCAAACAACAACTCTGATGACGCCCTAAAAAACATTTCTCATTTTATTAACCCTCTTAACAAAATTTGATTAAAAACCAAAAAATCTCAAGTGTTGATACCCAAAATCTATATGTCCAAATTTCACGAGAAGAAGCCTACACACTGCTACTGAACTCTACTTTATAATACCACCCAATAGTTCG